ACGGAAAAGCTGGGGGAGCGGGCAGCCGTGGGGAAATACTGGTGTTGGAGAGAAGAATTGAAAAAAATTAGTGGGTGGCGAGAGGCAGGAACGGAGACGCTCTGCTGAGAAAGGAGTAAAAGCAGGAAAGCAGAGACAAACTACAAGAAGAAACAAAGTAATAAAAGAGAAGGGGAAGAGAGACGATAAAGTGATTCTTCCGAGAAAGAAGAAAGCGAAGGAGAGGGAATACAGAAGGACTCTGCTGATGAGAGAGAGAAGTTGAAAGACACCCCCCCTCCCGAGAGACACCAAACAGAGACTGACTAAAACTCTCTCTCTCTCTTTGTCACACCACAAGGATTTGATGCCCCTCAGCCTGTTCACTTCTGTGTGTTCATGTTTCCCACAGGTTTCTCTTCCCCCAACCCCCCAGCTGCAGCCCAGGAGGTCAGACCTGCCACTGATGGTAATACCAGCAGCAGCTCCTCCTGCAAGAAGAGAAAGTTAAATAACAGCAGCAACAGCAATTCTGAAAGAGAAGAATTTGATTCCATTTCTTCCTGCGCCTCTTCTCCTTCCAAAAACACCTCCTCATCATCTTCCTCCGTCATCACCACTTCCTCGTGCTCCTCCTCAGGGGTTGCCTCCTCTAACCATCACCTCCAGAAGAAGCTGCGCTTTGAGGACTCCGTGGATTTTATTGGACTCGATGTGAAGATGGCTGAAGAGTCTTCTTCCTCCTCCTCTCCTGCTGCCTCTTCTCAACAGCAGCACCAACAACAGCTCAAAAATAAAAGCCTTTTAATTTCGTCAGTGGCTGTGGGGCACCATGCAAATGGCCTGACCAAAGCTGCCTCCTCTACTGTTTCCAGTTTTGCCAACAGTAAACCTGGCTCTGCTAAGAAATTAGTGATCAAGAACTTTAAAGGTAACAGGCCATAATTTGTCACAACCTATGGGGAGCTGGTGCTCAACTTTGGTTTGTTTTCAACTTGAAAACTGGTTAGCATTCAAGTAACTCCCAAGTTTTACAGGAAATGCTTTTCTGTAGTGAATGTTTCTGTACTTATGTAAAGGGGGAATAATGTTTTATGGTGCATACTTGCCCAGTCATGTATACATCCTGAGCTACACTTTGCTGCTTGGGATTGTTTTTCAGACTCCTTCCACTCTGTTGAGAAGGCCTTAACTTGTATGTTAGGCAAAAGGTTTTATTACATAAGTGCGTAAATCGCCTTTCTTCAAGCTTTTAATGTTTGCTATTTCTTTTCTAGTAATCCTGATTCAGGGCTTAGTATATATTTTAGCCCAGTTTATTGTAAGTCTTTGCACAGAATGCATTTTCTTAAATTGGGGCTGAATCTTTATGTCTTGCTTCTATCCATGTTGTCTGTTTATAGGTTAATCTGCCTGTGCTTAGTTTTATATGTTGAAACTAAGGTGATTATCAGGCTATTATGGTGGATTTCCTTTCTGGTTTCCCCACTTGCCTTTAAAGTGGGCAGTTCAGATTTTTGCTGAGTGTTTTCCTTGCAATATCCTTGCTGTAATTTTTATCGTTTAACTCTTTCATGTCTTTTCTCTGTCTTAACATATTCTCACTTTACAAGCTTACATTATTTTATAAATTTTCTCAAAAGATGTGTTTGAGATTCTCAAGTATTGTTACTAGAGGCCAACTGAAGCAGAGAAATGAAACTTTTCTGCTGTGATGCTGCTTCATTTTCTAGTAAACAGAAATACAAATAGGTGTAGGCAGAAAGCTTGGAGTTCTGTAATTTTTTTCCCCCCATAAAGATGGGGAAATCGTGGGCTTTTCTCATTTTCAGCCTCTTGCTGTCTTCTAAAATACTCCAACAGCTTGCTTTCTTGGGTTTCTTTCCTTTTTCTATATGTTTTTGGGGTTGAGGGGAAAATACATTATTTACATTATAACTAATTTCTAAACAGTTGATAAAAAGGTTCTGTAGAGGTATTGCAGAAGGTAAGAATTGGGATTATTTTAGCCACTGTAGTTTTAGAGCAGTTCATGATCACAGTGTAACACTTTGCTTTAAGGTCCTCCTAATTCTTAGGAATGTTCTCTGCCCATCACATCATCATCATCATCATCATTTAATTTGACTGATTGTTTTAGTATTTATACTTACGATGCATGATAGTGGGAAATAAATGCCATTCTTGTGTTGCTTGTACGCTGTTATCTTTAAGGGAAGTCAACTTTTCATGTTTAAAATATTTGTTAAATGTCACGGATTGCATGGTGCTGTGATCATCATTGCTTATGAATTATTTGAATCACTTGCCTAAAAAGGATATCTCAGGAATCTGACAGATTTACTTTTTATTTACTCTCAGATGCTGAACTGAGTAATAATCTTGAGATTATTGTCTTTATCTTAGTGTGATAGCAATAACATCCTTTACAACTTAAATAACTTCCTAAAATCAGAATCTTGGTATTTACTGCTAAGTAGCATATGCATTAGTTGCTAGTGAAAACAGGCAAGCCTTGCTTGTAGTTAGTTGTGTCTTTCTCTCTCTCGATTCTTATGATACAGCTAATCTTGTGATATTGCCAATATTGTAGGTTAGGACAAAAAAATTACTTCTCTGTTATTTTTAGAGAAATCATAAAGATTTACTATTTGTTTTTTACCTTTAGTTATGTAAAAGTCGATTTTAATAGACTATAAACTCTGAGCCAATCTCACCTGTTGGAGGCGTGGATATGCATGTGACTTCCTCCCTAAATTTTCTCCTTCCTTCTCCATTTGTGAACGTGCTTATTAGAACAAAAACAGTCATTTTAGCTAGTTAATGAGAACACACAGACTTTTAAAATAGTCCTGGTATTCTGAGGATGTGACTTGGGGAATCTCTGTTAGCCCGCTGTAAATGCGTTAGTCTTGTTGAAGATGCTGTATAGCAGGGGCATTTCTAGAAGGCTCAAAAAAATAACAGAGTCAAGTCTGCAAAGCTTGAGCTATTTGAACGTTAAAAGAGGTCTTAATGCTAACAAATACCCACTGTCCCAACCCAAGACAAATGTAAATGGATTACTCTAAAATAGGAAGGTTTTCCTTGCAACCATAAAGCCTGTACTATTATAATTACAGTATTTCCATGCATGTTTCTTGAGGGCTTCTTTCCAACTGTTAATACAGAGCAGAATTAATGAGCAGTGAGTTAAAAAAAATAAGCTAACGCAACTCTGTATCTTTTAATCCATCATCTTCAGGTTTTATGTTCAGTTTCTTTTAGCTGTACTGTCCTGGTAGTGAAGAAGAGTGTAATGAAGATGTAGGACATTCTTGCTGGTTGTTAGCCTTTTACTCTGTCTTCAGGTGCTCAGACGCAGTATTGTGATTTATAAAAATCACACATACTGTTTGGGTTACAGATGCTGTGATGTGTAGGTGAAGAGCAATGCCGAATTTTTACAGTGCATTACTATTTCAAATGTAAATAAGATACTGTTTTTACACTAATGTGTTCCTTTCATGCAAGTATTAATTAAAATCTAGAGTATCTGCCCATACCTCTTTCTTCTCAAAACTACATTTTTCATTTCTGTAGAAGGTAAAATATTCTGTTTTTGCTAAATACTTTTTCAAACTCTATATAATAATTTCTCTTAAAGATAAACCCAAATTGCCTGAAAACTACACAGATGAAACCTGGCAAAAACTGAAGGAAGCTGTAGAAGCTATCCAGAACAGTACTTCAATCAAGTACAATTTAGAGGAACTCTATCAGGTAAGTGGTTTAAGTAAAAGTGGTGTGGTACAGTTTTTTGTTTTGTTGGTGGATTTTTTTTTTGCTTAAAACACTTTTGATACAGTGGTAAGAACATGACATTTTGCTTGATAGCTGCTTTTGTCACTGAAAACTTTTCATTAAATAGTTTCTCAAATTTTAAAATAGTCAGTAAAAGTTTCAAAAGACCTAACATTGAACTTGGAAATTTTTTTACTTGCTACAACATGATCTAAGGTATGGTTTCCCTTGCAACACTTAACAAGAATTAAATAAGGCAAGGAGCTGTATTCCCTTTACTGTTTTGGGGTTTATGGTGTGTAGCTGTTAAAGGAGAAATGTGAAATCCTAAAATATTGGTGTTTAGGTAAGAAATAGACAAATTATATTAAAATAGAATACTTTTTCTGAAGACAGTATCTGTTCATGATTGAGGATCATAAATAATTTAAAAACTGGAACTTTTTATTTGACTTCTTAAAAGTAAATAGAATACCATTTTTCTTCATGAATTGTATTATTTTTGTTTGACTGTAATTTTTGATTATTCAGCATTCTTTCTGTTCTGACAACTGAGAATCAAAATTTATTCCCAGCAGCAGCTCTGATTGTTTTGCCCTGAATGTTTTAGGAAGTGATCAGACTGGAACTGCATTTCCTAACTTTTTTAATAAGCTTCACTTCTGCTTTTTCAGCTGAATGTGTTAGGAAGATTTCTCCCCCTCCTCACCCTTTTCCCTGCTAACACTGCGGTACTTGCGGTTTCAGTGGCCTAGCAACAGTACTGCTTTAGCTACATATTAAGAAGCATTTATACTTTTTACTCTACTTTTAAAGCCTTTATTATCTCGTTAGTTGTTTGATTTGTTCCTCGGTGTGTGTATGTAGCCTTCCCTCCATCTGTTTTTAGTACCTCTTCTTCCCCTGCCCTCCCCTTTTCAATAAAAGATGCATTTGGATATGACTGTTCTGTGAAAAGTTGGGGAGAAAAATCCTGTTTGCACAAGGTTTGGGGATAGATTTAGGGAAGGATAAATTGCCATTTATCATGGAACAGAGAACCTTATGGGCCAGATTCCTCAGTCTGGTGTGTTTTTAAGCTCATTATAATATTTTTATAATGTTCAATTAATCTAAAAATAGGTTTTTTAGCAGTTTGTCAGGATAATACATAGTATTGTTACTCTAACAATAGTATTGTTACTCTCGCAAATCTTGGTGAAACTAATAGCCAATTACAATGCACTCTATTGAGTGGTATTGTAAATTACTTTAGACTGAACAACAGAGCAACTAACTGTTAATTAAATACTTGAAGGTTATCCAAAATTGTTTTAAAATACAAAGTCCTTTTGAAAGCCTTGCTTTTGCTTCACAGTTACTGCTTAAATTTCTGCTCACTTTTACCAGAGGCTTAATTTAATGTTGCTTGTGCTCAGAAAAGCAAAAATACACTTTTTTTTTTCTTTTTAAATCTCTGTTTTAACGTTGTAATAACTTAGATATTTTTCAATGAAATAGAGTGCAATCAAGTATGAAATTTTTCTTTTTTTATATAAATCTAAAAATAAATGTCTTGGTTTAAAATTAGTAATAGGAATCACTAGTGTTTTTAAATGCTAAACTAATGTCATTTCTGAACAGCTGCCTGGTAAATGAATCTGTTGCCAAATATGCCTTGGCAGACACCATTATCCAAGCATAGAGGGGAATTGCAAAAGAGTGCAGAAGTTCTGCTGCATCCCTCAAAACAAGATACTACTTTTTTTAATTTCTCGAGTTTGGTTTAACTCATGTCTGTGTTGGAAAATCCCACTGAGCAAATGTTTTGAGGCTTTATTTCTTTGTGGGGCACTAGCTTTGTACTTGCTTTGTTTCTCCCCAGCAAGAGAAACGATACGTATCTTTGAGTAGCTAAAGTGCTACAGAATTGAAAGCTTCTTTATTAGCATGATTTTCCTTAGATTAGTACCAGAAAATAGAGATCTAGATATTTGGTACCAGGTCCCTAGTTAATTTTTCTTAATCAATCGCAGAGTTAAGTACTTCTGGAAAATTACAATTTTCTCTCATCAGGGCTGTGTTCAGTTCTTTTCCTTACTTTCCCCAGTTCACAAATCCAGATGTGGATGCTGTGATTAAAACAAACAAAAAATGCAAACAACAGAATATACGTTACACAAAGAAAGTATGATGCTTTGCCTTTGGATGTTCTGACCATCTTCAGGGCACAGATTCCCTAATCAGAAAGCTTTATTCGACTAATTTGGAACAAGATAATTTTGTGAACTAGACCCCCTAAAGTTGTTGGGAGTTTTTGATATGTTACAGTTGTTTTTGTGTAACTCTGGGAATTAAACTTACAAAGCATAATATTCAGTAGTGATGTTATGCTCCACAGAGCAAGTCTTAGTAAAAGGTTTTGTATTTGTGTGCTTAGAAAGTGTAATCTCTTTAAAAAAAAAAAGGTGCCAGCTGAACAGAATCCACAAATTAAAACATTTCTGTGGATGTTATCATTGAAGATGCAGAAGTTTTGCACTTGATGTTCAAACACCCCGTACTAGCAGACATGTGTTTAACATTTTGGAATTTCTGATACACAAATGCAAAAGCATAGCTTTATATGAATGCTACATAAAAGTAAGTATATTTATATATGCTAGCTTATTTCACTAAGAGTTAGTGGTTGGTTGTTCATCTACAGTGCAGAGGCTATTTCTTTTCAGGATTGGGAGCAGCATTGTCAAATAGTACTTGTTCTGTTAGACAGCAGTTATGAAAATGTTGGTAGTTGAGACAGATGAACTGACAGAGCAAAATGGCTGCTGGTGTCCTAGGCTGGTAGGTAGAAGCGAGACTAACTGTGGTTATGCAGGTAACTCGTAAGTTCTATCTAAAACATGCATCTTCCGAGCTCTCAGTTGGCGTCTCCAAAGTAAGTGGGAGAAAAGAAGAAACCTGTTTATTGCGCTTGTTGAAGATCTAATTAGGGTCTTCAAGCTTAGTGTTTTCCATTCCCTTTTTCTTCTGAAATCACAGCAGTGGTTATTTCCTGTTTTGCTGCTATTTCATTTAGAGCCTGACGCTTGGGTACAATAGCAGAATAGGGCTGAGCAGTGTCCATAACCTACTCTGAACAGTGAACTGTACAGTATGTTTTCCTACCACATCATTGTATTTGTTTGGGGTTTCTTAAGTGTTAAGGCAGAGCGTTGAATTTGTTGCTATTTCCAAATACGCAGATACGTATGCTTAAGTGATAATTCTGGCTTTCCTAATAATCATCATTCAGGCCTTTTTTAATCTTAATTGGCACACTCACTCTCTTGCTATACCTGTTTGTTTCTGACAGTAAGCTCATGCAGGTTTGGTTTTCCTTTTTTTGTTATTGTTGTGTGGGATGCTTTTGTTTTGGGGGCGATTTTTTGTGGTTTGTGTGGTGGCAGTGGTTTTTTTAACTCCTCTATGTCCTGGAACCAGCATTAGCTGTAGTGCATTTGCTCTAGAGAGTTGTTTACTGTTGGTACTGAGAATGATTACTGTTGATATCCTAGGATAAACTGAGGAACTCTTTGTTTAGCTGTTTTCGTTGTTGCTGGTGCTTTTAGTGGTGGCTGCTTACTGTTTGCTGGTAGCTTCTATTTGGTCTGTTGGGAAGTGTTCTGGGGGACTTCAGTGTGATGGAGTAGATCTGCTCTGTATACTTTTGAACTATGCTGTCCCTGCATGGTTGCCTGCAGTTGCTGGAGAACAAACTGCACCTTCCAGTCCTTTTTTTCGTATGAGTTGGTTGTTCTGGCAACTGAAGTATTTTCCATTAAAAAAAAAAAAGGCATTAGTTGAACATCATACGTACCTCTCCTCTCTAGCTTCTCCAGATGTTTTACAGAGTAATCACATACTGTGTCTTTTACCAACCTGCAAAGAGTTTAAGTTGCTCAGTTGCTTTCCAAATCTGGGGAATTGGTATAAGTTTTGGAAAAGTCTTGAGTTATGCTTACAGACTTAAGAATGCTTGTTTGCTTGATCAATCTCCAAGACATGTCTCCATTAAACTTTTTTTTGCTTCTCATTGTGAAGCACAGCGACCATTCTTCTAACACTTGATTATGATCTAGAAATCTGAGATTTGTCATGGTAAACATCTGGAATGTAGTCATACTGCTAAAAATTGTTCAGGACTATAACTATTCAGGCAAGGGGTTGATGGATAGAGATACACATATTCTTTATATATGTGTATATGTGTTTATTTTGGGGGATGAGGGAAGCTTAATCAAGGAAAGACTGCAAAGGAAATAACACTAGCGGTGCTTTTCTGCTAACATTAGTGTGACTTGCAGAGCACGGCAGTTAATTTTATTAAGACCTTAAGTGTCTGCTTTGAAGTATGAAACCCAGCAAGCTGCTGGAACATATTAAACTAACATCCTTGTTCTCAGAGATGCAAGTCCTGCAGTTCCTTGTGAGATATTGGTATTCCAACTGAAATAAAGTGTAAGATGTTCAGGGCATGGCCTGCTTTTCTCTCTTATTACCAGTATAGTGCCATATATAGTGCCATGTTTCTCTGGTGTTTTGCCTACAGCTGTTAACTATGTTACAATTAAAAGCTGGTAGATTTTTGAGTGAGAAGCAGAAGAGTTCCATGGTTGTTCTGTTGTTTGGGGTTTTTTCCTTTCCTTGTAAAACCACATATAAGAATATCAACAGATTTCTTAGTATCTGTTTCTTTTTACTTCAGGCTGTTGAAAATCTCTGCTCCTACAAGATTTCTGCAAACTTGTACAAACAATTGAGACAGATCTGTGAAGACCACATTAAAGCACAAATTCACCAATTCAGAGAATATCCTTTTTTTTAGCTGTTGACAAGCAAAAACATTTTTACCTGCCAGTATGTAGTGATGGATTTCTTTTGACTAGTTCATGACACTAGGCCATGGTAATCTGAATTCCTAGCTTTTGCATAATTGGGTCTGTTTTCATTTTTTGTAGGACCTCAGAGAACACGACTAGTTCCTTTATGTCTGTAACCATTTGAGAAGTTTGTGAGAAAGTTTCATTGGTATTTATGAAACACTTTGACATCTTACAAAAGCTCATATTAGACTTACAGCAAGGCTGTATTCGCTGCATCACTTGAGGCTTTTTTATATGCTGAACTTGCCATGCTCAGGTAAACAGAAAAGTCTTCTGACAAGTAGTTCTTGTTTTCCTTTTGAAAAGTGCTAGTGGTCTGGCAGCATATAATGTTAGTGGTTCTGCGAATCAAAATGTTTTTATTTTCAAAAGTTTTGAGTTGTATCAGATTGAGATCCTGTTGAGTGGATATTAATTAGTACCAGAACTATGTAGTGAGCTGAATAAAAGTTAACTTTTAAGGACAAAATTTATCTTTTGAGATTATCTCTTAACATGAGCTGGAATGATACTATGTGTAGTGGTGGGCTCTTACATGTATTGTGGATTGTTGGGTTTTGAGGTATGGGGATATGTATGTTTGTTCCACTCTCCAGGGATGGAGGATTAGACAAACCATTCAAAAGTATTTAGATCCTCTTTTTTAAAAATTGTTAAAATAATTTTGATCTCTCATTATTAACACAAGAACCCTCATTGAAAATAAAAATAAACATGTTGCAAGAAGTTAAGTGGATCTTTTTGGGGGTAGGTGAGTTCGTGCTCTCCGTTAAGTGTTTTTTTAAAAAATAATGTTGGTTCATTTCACTGCTAACACTACCTATTAATAATAATTTTCTTAATGATTTCTTCATGGATTCATTGGATAGTGTCCTTTTTCTAAAGAAAATAGATAAATGTTGGCAAGATCACTGCAGACAAATGGTAAGGTTTTTTAAATCTTTTTAAAGAAAACCAGTTGCCTAGTCAGCCGATGTTTTGCTTAACTTTGTTCCTTTACAAACATACTGTGCTTCTGAAATGTTTTAAATTTATATAAGGCTTCTTCATGAAATACAACTGTGTCTAGTTTGTTAGAAATCAAGCTTTGAAAATACTTTGTAGTGTGTTTCTTGACACATTGGTCTGATCTTCAACATTCCCACTCAAGTCCTAACTTGTTTCTATGCAGACCTTTCTCCTTTTATACCTATTATAAAAGAAGCTATCCTTTTATACAGAAAGATGCTAAATGTTGCATTGATCATCTCGCTGAGATTGGCGGAGTATTTTAAAGAAATCAACACTGTCTAAGAAAGCACTGCCTGAAACCTGTCAGTGGGATTTTTTTGTTATTGTTGAGCATAATTTGTGTTGCTCTTCAATTTCAAGAGTAAAATGTTTGTGGCTTTTTTATTCCTTCTCATAACAGATTATGATTAGAAGTATCTTTTTGTTCTTGGATCGAACTTACGTACTTCAGAATTCAATGCTGCCATCTATTTGGTAAGGGCACAAAGAATAAAATTATGGGAGGTATATTTAAGTTATCAGACATATCCTGCTGATTTGGGGGAGGTGTTAATATAAGCTTTATAGTGACCTGTAAATTAGGTGGTGAATGCATACATGCTTGTTGCAAAGGGAGATTTCACTTTTAATTTATTTGCCATGAATTACAGGATTCTTCTGTAATAGCTGTGATAGCAAATTTCAGCTAAGTAGATACCAACTTCCAGTATGCACAGTTAAAGGAAAGGGCCTGTTCAACAACTGAAAAGCGAGGGTTTGGGTTGCTCAGGTGCTGGCTCTAATATGCATAGTACTCAAAGTTCTGTAAGTATTTTTTTGAAGGAAAAAGTTACCTAAATTAAAAGCTCTCTTTTGGACTTCAACCTCTGCCCCCCTCCAATATTTTAATAATTGGTAAATGTCCTACAGTGCCTTTGGGCACTACCTGAATTACTTTGCCAGAGATTAAAGGAGGTGTGGATGGAGAGCCTGGCTTTCCCTAAAAGAGTCCAGACCCACAGTTTCAAATTCATGGAAAGTTTTAACTGGGATGCCCAGAGCAGAGATCCTTGTCTTTTCACACCACCTAGTTTTTCTAAGCTCTGCCTAAGACTTAGAGATTAGAAAGTGATGGACAAAAAAGAAAACTGTCCAACAGCTTAACCATGGAATTGGGACCCAGGATGACATTATCCTTTTCTCGTTAAGGCTGCTGTTCATTCAGTTTCCATCATCCTGCCAACCAAGTCAAAAAGAAAGATGCTGCAAAAGTTAGGTGGTTATTTAGGAAAAAATACGTGCTTTGGTCTTCAGAATCTGTAGCGTGCTGTTGATGCTTTGTTGTGGTTTATTTTAGTGTTTATGTGGTTGTTTGTCGTCAGTGATTTGAGGGCAGAGGAATGAGGAATTTGAAGAATGCTAGTATTTATTGGCCTCTCCATTTGATCTAGATCAAATTACATTAATAGAGGATATTTGGGGTTGATTCTTGCGCAATTTCTTGAACAGACTCTTTCTTTTTAGGGATATGGGGCTAGAATTGTTCAGAACTCATATAATCAGTGATCAGAAGGTTCAGAACAAAACTATTGATGGCATTCTTCTGCTGATTGAGAGAGAAAGAAATGGTGAGGCTATCGATAGGAGTTTACTGCGAAGCCTTCTAAGCATGCTTTCTGACTTGCAGGTAAGTAAACTTGTTTCACCTTTAAACCAGTAAGAAGCTCAGATTCTTCTTTAGTGCTCAGTAAGCTTTACCCTGGATTGCTATCGTGTTGTCTCCCTAGATTTATCAAGACTCTTTCGAACATAGATTCTTGGAAGAGACTAACCGCCTGTATGCAGCAGAGGGACAGAGGCTTATGCAGGAACGAGAGGTATTTTGAGTGTTTAATGATATTTGTTATGCCTAATGACAAAGCATTTGTCAGGGAGAGGAACTATTGTGCTGTCTTAGCCGGTGTACAGGGAAGTAATGTGATCCTTGTATTTTATAGTATTCTGAAAAAGCAAATTCCCATGCATATGCCTTCAGTCACGGTGCTAATGATTTATGCTTAAAACTGGAGCTTCTGCTGCTGTTAGACCAGTATTATCTTTTTTTTCTCTTGATTTTTTTTAAAACATACAAAACTACTCTGGCACTTTCAGGTTCCAGAATATCTTCATCATGTCAACAAGCGCTTGGAAGAAGAAGCGGACAGGATTATCACCTATTTAGATCAGAGCACACAGTAAGTGCAATCTCTCTTTGCTTGGTATTGTTAGCTGTTTGGCTCTTCTGTTGAGGGCCATCTAATAGCTACAATTTATTTCAGTTATTGACTGACCATCAAATGCTTCTTGCTCCCCACAATTCCTTGTTTACAATAAAGCACTGTCTTGGCTAACACAGCTAATATTCTCTTCTTCTAAGCCACTAGTTATTTTGACATAAATGCTGCTGGGCATTTGGTTGGAGAAAAATAGGCTGCCACCCCCAGTCCAAAAGTCTCTTTCTTGCTGAGATGCAATTAATCAGCTGTCATCCTACCTGAAAATGATAAGGACCAGGACAGAGAATTCTTAAGCTAAAGGCTCTGAATATTTACATAAAAATATTTCTGTATTCTTTATGGAGTCTGGGAAATTACTGAATAATGTTACTCTTTGATCTTTTCTACTTAGAGGCAGGCTTTCCTCAAATACAGTCAGGTGGAGGTCATGACTGGTAGGACAGGCGAAATGTTCTCGTAACATAAAGCCACAGCTGTCATGTCTGAGAGAAAATGTAGGTCACTAATACAACGAAACTCTTCGAGCAAGTGGTAGCAACTTCTTAAAGAGCAGGTACAGAGGATCTCTCTGAGAGGAAGGTGGTTTTTTGCTACCGTCACACATTTTTATTTCCTTCCTCCTTCATCTGTTAAAACCATTTAGCTTGTTTAGTGGCTTCCTTCTTCCAAACCATTATTAGTGGCCAACTCCCTATTTTGTTTTAATACCTCTTGACTCGTGAGGTGTGTTTTTTCTTCTCCTTGGTTTGTCTCCCAAGACTTGAATCCCCTCCCACAGAGCAGGAGAAGGTATATTCTTTGACAAACTTTTGCTCAATTTCTTCACTGATGGAATCATTGTCCAGCTGCCTAGAGGTCACGTACAACAGACTTATTGTGTGAATTCAGTCCTCAGTCAGCAAACAGAAAAAAGATTGCTTACTGGGGAGGAAAAAGGATAAATATGTGTATAATTATTTTAGGTTCTTGGCCACAGATAATTAGAGTACTCACAATGACAAGTGTAGTTAATAGAATCTCAAAAATTAAAAACTGTCAATAATGGAAAAAAGGATAAGTAATTCTAAACGTTTTTTCTATAGGAAGCCACTAATTGCTACTGTAGAAAAGCAACTTCTAGGTGAACATTTAACAGCCATCCTTCAGAAAGGTAATCTTTCTTCTTTATAGAAATGTTTCTAATTACTGCTTCGGGGCTTTCAATTTCTGTGCTGAAAAAGGAAGTGACAGATTCAGGTGCTGGGGGAGGACACAAGCTACATCATTCTGTAATCCCTTTGCTACTCAGTTCATGAAATAGCATTGACCATTTTGCAAGAGAGCAAGTACCATTCTCCTTGTCAGAGGTAAGGAAACGCAGCGCTGTCTGCAGATACATAGCAAAGCAAAAGGAGAACTAGAATAGGGGGCTCTTGAGTTGAGTGTGTTAAACAGCATTTTGAAGATCCAGAGATAAAGGAGTAGCCTTCGAATTATGGCTGTATAAGAAAGGGAAAACACTGATTACTTGCCGCTCAGAAAAAGCAGCTTGTTTTAAAAATTTAGTACAATTTGAGCAATGACGTACGTTGCCTCAGTTCTGCAGTAGTCTCTGTGGCATCAAGTTGCTCTGTGGGATAGTCTGGAAATGGATATGGGTGCAGCAAGAGTTGAGTAATATAATGATCAAAGTCCTTACTAGACAGAATCTGGATGAAACAGGTATGTAAGCATCTTCTGCACATCTGTCACAGATTCTTTATTGCGAGGAATATCAAATTTGCAATATTTACCCATCTACTTAGAAACTTGCTGCAGAGCATCAGGCCTTCTCTGCCAAAAAGTTAAAAAGTGAAAGGTGAAGATATTTCCTGAAGCTGCTTGCCTTCAGACATCTGTAAAATTTATTTTACAGCTGGAATTGAGACTCAGAGCTCTGTCTTGCCAAGGAAACTTTCCTACAGATCAGTAGAGTGTGAATCTTTAAAATCTTTAGGGTATAGTAAAACAGAAGTAAGCAAAGGTGTTGTCATAAGTATGTTACTTAAAGTACACGTAGCCTAAGATATCCAGAGCAATAGCAAAGTTTTTAAGGTTTAAGTCAGTTCAGGTAGCCATTCTGGGTTTCACTGTTAAATTACGTAGCTTAAAAAAAAATGAAACCCCGAAACAAAACAAAAAACAAACAACCACTGATTGCCTGATTAAAAAAATACTAGTTTTGAAGAGGTCGCTTACTGTAGTAATATGCTGTGCTTTCTTTGGATCACTCTGGTTTTAATTTCTATTGACATTCTCTCATTTGCAGGTTTAAACCACCTTCTTGATGAAAACAGAATTCAAGATCTGTCTCTTCTGTATCAGTTGTTCAGTCGTGTGAGAGGCGGAGTACAGGTTCTCTTGCAACACTGGATCGAGTACATAAAGGTACTGCTTCTAGAACTCTGGAACAGATACCACTATTTTATCGATGGGGTTTATGCACAGATATTTGAGTCATCTTTATAAACTATTGTGATTTTCTAAGACTTAAAGACTACTTGCTTATAAACATATATTTAATGGGCAGCTTTTGAAACTGTGCTAGGAAAAGTGCAGTAACTGTTCTTGCCCTATCGAAGAAAATATTGAATGTTCAGTTGAATTACCAAACTCCAAATAAATTTGGGGTTTTTCTCTTGCTTATAGTCAGTTGTGAGGGACAACTACATTTGTCCAATAGACATTTTTTGGTAATGGCAGAATGTTTGTCTTCTCCCTGCTAAAATTTCTTGTCAGAATAAGTGGTAGCTTAAGTTACCAACGAATTGAAGTTCACAAAGCACTTTAATATCACTTAAGATGTTTTGTCTTACTACTTAGTGAAAATGTTGTCACAGAAAGTATGGTTGGTTTGAAGGAAGGCTTTGTAACATCACAGGAGTACTGTTAAATAAAATTTAGTTTAGTGGGAGCTTCAGTTGTGTAAAACCTGAGGATATAGATGTTTAAAAGGGGTGTGTTCATTTTGTCGTGCTTAAGTTTAGTTCTTCAGACAAAAGTTCTGAATCTGTTTACTTATTCATAAATTGGTTTTGAATCAACATACAAGGTCTAGGAATGACTATGTGGTAAATCCTTCATAATGTTATTACTTCTGTTGTGTTAGTGGAACTAATATGAATACCATAAACAAGACATTACAAAGGTAACTTGGGCTTTTAGATGTCTTGTCATTTAAATTAATTATTCGGGCTAATTGAAAGATGTGTTTTATTTTGCAGGCATTTGGTAGCACCATAGTAATTAATCCAGAAAAAGACAAAACCATGGTCCAAGAACTACTTGATTTTAAAGACAAAGTTGACCATATTATTGATGTTTGCTTTCTCAAGAATGAGAAGTTTGTAAATGCCATGAAAGAAGCCTTTGAAACATTCATTAACAAAAGACCAAATAAGCCAGCTGAACTCATAGGTATTTTTCTTCATTTTCTTCCGTTGTGAAAATTTGGGTGGGGGACAAGAGGGAGTTGCTGATGCAGCTTACAGATGTGATATGCTGGAACTGTGTGTTAAAAGACATTATGTACAGTGCATTGCCAAACCGAGGATCTACTGTGCCTTATTAGGCAAATTAATTACTTGGTAGGATAACATTAAACATTAAGAACAAGCTCTATTCATCAGTTCACTGCCTAGGCTATAGAAAAGTGAAGAACATCAGAACTTGAGCGTTCCAACAATTGACAGGTGTCCAGATGTGAGAATACTGTTAATAATTTGACTTTTTCAGAAGCTTATGGAACTGTGCTGCCAACACATGTGCACAGAGCTATTAGGGGCTCTACATAGATACCTATGTTTTAATATATGAAAGTGAAGAGTGATGAGGATGCACTGTACCTCTCATGTTAGGGGGACAGAGTCTCTGTAGTTTGCAAAGAACATTGTTTACAGATTTGTGCATTACAAGCCCGGCTCCCTGCACTTTTGAATACCTTAATCATTTCCCCACACAGTGAATAATACCTGCTTTGCAATCTGTTGTGCTGCTAGGCTTGTGGAGAAATGCTTTCTGCCCTCCTTTTTTAAAATTATCTGCCCTCCTTTTTTTTTGGTAACGTGCTTACCAAACCATTTGAAATTAAAACAAACAGTAATCTACTAGAGAAGTTCAACAGTATACTCAAGACATTTAAATAACCAGTTTATATATTTTTTTTCTTTTTTACATGGCATTATAGCCATGTCAGTCAGACGCAGTCAGCCATATAGAGCAATAGTGACTTTTTACTTTGAAATCATAATATGGATGAGGATTTTTTTACATACACAAAAATAATTTTTAACATTCTGTTTGTGAATAAAGTTAAGATGCAGTAACTGCTTATCTGAAAAAAGAGATTAGGCTATAATGTTTTTATAACTTTATAGCCTCTATGAAAATATATCAAGACAGATGCGATGAAACTGATTTGCCGGTAATTTCAGGATCTTTTATATTTCTGCAAGATTTCACAATATTGGATTTAAAAAACAAATTAAATTACTGTTTTATTGTGATACTAAGCATGTGCTAAACTTTTTATTCCCTAACACTCTTTTAGCTAAATATGTAGATTCAAAGCTTCGTGCAGGCAACAAAGAAGCTACTGATGAAGAACTTGAAAAAATGCTGGATAAAATTATGATAATATTTAGATTCATATACGGTAAGTATTGCCTTTTTTGTGGGGATAAATTTGTTTAATCAGGAACGTATATGAACTTTGAAATATTTTTTGCAGTTTGTCTGCGTTTTCAAGTGTTCATTCTCTCTAGATGCTGTTTGCTGGTGTAGTGCTGTTTAACTAGTTTGTGCATTAAAATGCTGATACCAAGACATGACTTGAAATCTGTGGAAATCTTAGCGTGAAGGCCCTTGTTAGCTTTACTGAGCTTTGAATTGGGCCTCTTGTAAGTAGTGTTTGTTTAAAAGAAACAATGATTTGTGATCACTGTCAAATCTCACCTCTTACAGGAAAAGATGTCTTTGAGGCCTTTTATAAAAAAGATCTAGCAAAGAGACTATTGGTTGGGAAGAGTGCATCAGTAGATGCTGAAAAATCTATGCTTTCCAAACTCAAACATGGTAAATGTCTATCTGCTTGCTTTCTTTTAAAAATAGCCATTTTAACAGGCCTTCCCAGAAGTGCTCCCCCTTACATGAGGGAGTAAAAACCTCATGTGCAATTCTTGAATGGGTGTTGAGGGGACTCATTTGCTTTTAGTTTTGTAATTACAGCAGTAATAGCCAAAAAATAGAAGCTTAAAGTACACTGTGCATCTTGGCCTGTGGGATAGAGTTGAGGTCACCTTCTGAACAAATCAGTGATGTGCTTAGGGAACTTGAGGATGACTTCTCCTTTTTATTCCCTCCATATAAGGTCTGAAATGTGAAGCTGCCAGCTAGCAGTCTTCTAGTCTGGTCTTCATTGTTTCATAGGATGGAGTCTTTGAGTGAGAACTCGGTCTTGTTCTATCATCAAGAGACAGTTTGTCAGGCAGCTGATAGGGATTAGAAGTGTTATCTGAGGGACAGGTTGCCAGTGGGGTCCTAGGATGAACAGTCATGTCCACATGGGAAAACAGTGGGGTTGCAAAATAGCTGCCACAGTAAAACATTTTCCCCCTTCTTGCTTATAACCTTATTCTGTATCTTAATTAGAATCCAAGTCTTTATATAAGAATGTATGCTGGAATAGGTCATCTTGCTTCAAAGTACATTCTGATATTTAGGGTAACTACTCTATGGTGTTGAAAATAAACAAGATTAATTTTTAAGATGTAAATTTTCTCTTTTATAGAATGTGGAGCTGCTTTCACCAGCAAACTTGAAGGAATGTTTAAAGATATGGAGCTTTCAAAAGACATAATGATACAATTTAAACAGGTACTGCAGGAAAGCCTGCCATGGCTCCTTCATTTACTTGCTTTTTGAATTAGTTATTTTCAGAAAGCCCAATGAGAGTGTGCAGGATGTCTTCAGTTGTCAACGTTTCTATTGTAATTGAGTTAAACTCCTTTTGAATTATTCCAGTTGTCTGTAATGTTCCTTCACTACAGAGAAAAGAACTTTGTAGGTGATTGCTTTCAAAAGGAGTGGACGAAAGCCCAACTGGGAAAAGTGTCTACTGAAAATCTCTTGAAATCAATTTCTTAATTCTGTGCTGTCTGTGCTTTCGAAAATTTTGCTGAATTTATTAATCGTTTTCCTGAGCAACAAAGCAAAAAACCTGAAACAAGAAGCTGCTTTAAAAAAAAAAAAAAAAAAAACACAACCAAACAAAAACCAAAACCACCTGCAGTAATAAAAGGAGAATTGTAAACTTATAAAACATGTTAACACCAGTTACAAAACACTTTTGACACCACTATATTCTGATTGAGTGGCTTGTAAGTTTTTGCCGATTAGTTCCGGTGGTTCTCTAATGTTGTGATTAAAAGCAAATTTTAACATCCTTTCCTCCATTCACACCTAATTAGGTACATCTTCACATCAGCCTGCTAAAACACTTCTTTTTCCATTTTCTTCCTGTATGGAAGTGCCTTTAGAACTTTAAAAAAGTGCATTTTCTTATCCTAATTTTCTTGTATGTAACTTGCAGTTTATATAGCAAAGACATCATAAGGTCACTTGTCTTCTGTGCTCTCGTAATGCCTGTTCTAACCAACTTCTCAACTCTACCTGAAATATATTCAATAAACATTGCTTTATTTCGATTTACTTTGTTTCTTTCTGCAGTATATGCAAAATCAGAATGTACCTGGCAACATTGAACTAACAGTGAATATTCTGACTATGGGTTATTGGCCAACCTACGTGCCTATGGAGGTCCATTTGCCCCCAGAGGTAATGAATATCGACACCTTACACCAAGTAGCAGCCTATCAGTAACGTATCTTGATATCACCTGGAACTTGGTTTAAATATGCATATAATATTTAGAAAGAAATGCAGAAATGTCTTTTTTTAATTAAAGTTTGTTTCCTTTTCTTGCAATTACCTTCATTTTTCTAAGCCTTTATTTAAGGCTTATTTGACTGTGGAGGAGGGAAGGATGCTTTTAAAGTAGAAATTGTGTTTTAGTGTTTTGAGTTTCTTCTTTTTTTAGATGGTAAAACTGCAGGAGATTTTCAAGACCTTTTATTTAGGAAAACACAGTGGTAGGAAACTTCAGTGGCAGTCAACACTGGGACACTGTGTACTAAAAGCAGAATTTAAAGAGGTGAGTGTGTTGTTTCTTATTGCTGTTGCTTTGCCGATTACAAGTCTGGGTTGTAGTTTATGGATGTATCGGGAAGCTTTTTTGTGCTGTGATGGAAAACTTAGCACTGCTTTTGCAATTACTTTTAACTTTTGACCTCTTGCTATCAATTCCAGCATGGGTAGTTTCTGAAATAAATGTATTAAGGTCTTAAAAAGATGCATCTGATTTCTATATTTGTGAAGAAAAAAAAAAATTGTTGGTTACTGCTTGGGGAAAATACACAGTGGGTTTAGTTGCATATTAAAAATTGCACTCATTTTTATACTGGGGAGGAAAAAAAAGGGGGCCATATTCCATGGATGACCTTACTTCATCTGACAGCATTAAGCATCATTAAGGTAAGCTTTTCACTACTGAAATAAAGAAGAGTTTTGGATTGTACAAGAAAAAAACTGTTTTTCAAGGGCTTCCAGTTATTCCCCTTCAGTATTTTTTCATGGGCACAAATATATTTCAAGAAGGTTTATCTTGGAATAGGAATGCTTACTAGTTCTCTTTTTTCAGAAAAATGTTAATGCTAAAACAAGTATTATCAAACTTGTTTATTTCAAAGATCCTATAGTTCCTAATACTGTGTGTTTCTTAAACTAATGTTTGTGTTACACTTTGACTTAGAGATCTTTCAAATTGTAATTTTAAGCACTCATTGCTTTGAGATTTGTCTTGAGTAAGTTGATGCATATCTTGGGTGAGTTTTGTCGTTGGATATAATAGTCTAACCTTCTGACCTCTAGTTTCTTCTGCATTTGATAGTAAACATAAGATGACCAGTAACTTTTATTCTTCCATATTCCCAAACGAATAAAACAACAATTGCATCCTTTAAGTGAAATAATTGTCATACAAGAGTGACTCCCTCCCCAAAAACCCCAAGCAAACCAAAAACAAACAGCCTAGTGATGTCTTGTAATTTCCCTTGTGACAGGGCAGAAAAGAACTTCAGGTCTCCTTGTTCCAGACACTGGTGCTGCTCATGTTTAATGAAGGAGAGGAGTTCAGTTTAGAGGAGATAAAGCAAGCCACTGGGATAGGTTGGTATTGAAAACAGCTGACAATTTCCAAGTGTTCTTACTAAAAAAAAAAAAAAAAAACTAAACAACTTGTTTCTGCTTTAGAGGATGGAGAGCTGAGAAGGACACTTCAATCTCTGGCTTGTGGCAAAGCCAGAGTACTGACTAAAAGCCCCAAAGGCAAGGATGTCGAAGACGGTGATAAATTCACATGTAATGATGATTTCAGACATAAGCTCTTCAGGATAAAGATCAACCAAATTCAGATGAAAGAAACGGTATATTCTTTTTAATACTATGGAGTTCAGATCCTTGGACTAAGTATCTTGTCTGCACATTTACAAGCTTTTTTCCTCTTGGTTGTAACGTACATACTGATACCTTTGTAAAAGTTGCACATATAATTTGGATGATAGAATATATGTAACAATGCAGACTTAAATGTCCATACTTAGACACTCGTGATGCTAGATGTCTCTAAATAAGGTTGTTTAAGAGAAGTTCCAATTAGTGAATGTTCACACTTGATCAGACCCTGGAGCTTTACTGGTTTGTGAACATAGAAACAAGTTCACAGTGAATTTTCCCTGACAGCCATCCAATGTAACATCTGTGCAAATATTTTTAATTCCATGTACAAGTGGTGGTTTTTTTAATAATCAGTCTTCATATTTGTAAAGGATTTATGTCCGATATTTGACAACAGACATTTTACTGTCTTACACTGAGAATTTTCTTGGAGATACAGAGAGGAATTGTTTTGACAGTCATAGGGTTCTCATTAAATTTTTTCTAAATGGATCCCTCAGGTAGAGGAACAGGCAAGCACTACGGAGAGAGTATTCCAGGACCGGCAATACCAGATTGACGCTGCAATTGTTCGAATCATGAAGATGCGCAAGACACTGAGTCACAACCTGCTTGTGTCAGAGGTCTACAACCAGCTTAAATTCCCAGTAAAGGTGTAGTACTGATTTTTCTTCTTCTAAAACTTCACTACTTCTTTTTATATTCCCTGTCCTCAGTTAAACAGTGCTTCTGTCTAAAACATGCATCTTTTTACTATTAGGAAGGAAAAATACTCACTTTCAGGAATTTTTAAACTGCCAGTTGCATTCATTTATCTGAATATTACCTCAGGCTCTTAGTAAGTTAAAACCTATTACCAAAGGCTTTCACAACCAGAGTCTGTTAGCAGTAACTGTGAAGCTAGCTCTCCTTGTACGCTGTTCTTCTTGCCGTTAAGTGTTCTGGCAATGTATTCTTGGGGACAAGGGGAAAATTATTCAGATATGTAATGCAGAATTGTTTTTATTCTTAATTTTGTTGATACTTTTTTAATAAATTAGTAACCAATAAATGTACAGGCAGATTATATTGGTTAATATAGATATATATATACACACACGTATATGAATGAAAATTAGATATTGGTGAATGTCGCAAAGCTAAAGCAGCCCACAGTTGCAATATAAAATGAATAGCTTCTTGTATGCAAATGGAAATGGATTTTCAAATAGACACTGATGCATCTGAGTTCAAATGTGCAGTGCTTTCTATCAATAGAAATGTAAAATAAAAGATACTGCCATCTCGTTCTGTTTTGTTACCATGTTAAGTTCCTGCAGGCCTGTAAGTGTTGCATAAACTGCAGTTGGGCTTTGCACAGTTATAGTAGATGATTTACATGCTTTTCCCCACTCTTTATCATGAGACACTTTTTATAAAGTCTTTCACCCAACAAAATCATAGGGCACCCAAACTATTTTAAAGCTTACTTGCATCAAGGTAGAATGAAACTGGTACCATATTTTACCAGGTAAGTCAGAAATAGAAACACTTCGGTACGTAATGCATGAATTGCAGTTCTTTTAGAGTTCGGACAGCAGCAAATATCCTTCCCTGCTGTAAAAAGTCTATGCTTAGCTGCTTAGTTACAAGCTAATTTTGTAACTTTCTCTTCAATCAATTATACATTGCAGACTTTAGAAGCTTTAATGCCTTAAGGGATTTTTTTTTTTTAACCTGGGATTTCTTTTTCCTCAGCCATCTTAAACAGTATGGATATTTGCCTTAAGTAGAAAGAACGAACTGAGAAACATTGACTGCAAAGTAATAATGCTGACATCTGCTTTATTTTACAGCCTGCTGACCTTAAGAAGAGAATAGAATCCTTAATTGACAGGGACTACATGGAAAGAGATAAAGAAAACCCAAATCAGTACAACTATATTGCATAAACATATGTTGGCCTTTGTTTTACTGCACACTTGGTGTCATACACAGTTGCCAGTGGATAAACTAGCCTGTTGATCCCGTTAATTGACTTTTTATACTACCGATGATTGAATGAAAGCAGTGTAATGGAAAAGTATAGTAGAGTGGACTTCTTTCAGTGGTTAACATGCCCATTTAAAGAGTACTATTTACATTTTAAGAAGAATGCTGTTGAACTCTTTGCATGTTATTTAGTAAGATGTGCAGAAAGCTGAAAGAAAGTACCTGGTCTTTGTGATTCCATTTGTCTCTGGGTCTGAAGAGGAGTCCCTTGATATGACAGATGTCTTTCACACCTTTAAATGGAAACGGAAGGTTGGTTAATATAAGAAAATAGCCTTTAAAATGCTTAAACTGCATGCAAACTTTTAATTTACTGTACAGAATGCATTTCAGTTAGTAACATACCATTGGTTTGGTTGATGCCCACACTTGGATTTTTCCCTTGAGGGAGGGAAAATGGGGAATAAGCCAAGCTATGCTTATTGCTGATTTAATGGAAAATATTCTTTGTCACAATTGAGAAAATGGTACCAATATCAAACAATGTATAGAGTTTGCAGTGTGGGCATATGTACTGTATATACAAACACCATTCTTAAACAACTACTGCTACAACAAAACAAGTTCAGATTAGATTTATATGGCTTGCCTATAAGACTTAGTGTTCACCTTTGGGAATTTTAAGCCTAAAACAGCCATAATGGAAAAAGTGACAGTTTTTACTAGTCATGGGTAGGAGGCCTTCACCTCTTGGCAGCAATACTCTAGGAAAGAGAATCTATTTACAGATATCTATGAAAAGCCACACCATGCTTGTGGTAAAGCTGTAAGAACAAAAATTGCAAATGGATTTTAATACTTGTTTTGCTTTGCAACATTCTAAACTTGAACTAACCTCAAGGTTTAGACAGGGCAGCTCTTCTAAGACTGGCCTGCTTTGGACTGCTTTAACTTAAAGCTTTAAGAACTCAGCCCTAGATGTGGCAGGCCTCCTAGAACCCAGAAGCCTACCTCTCATATAGAATGTTAAGTATTGCTACAAGGCATCTAAAATATATTTTCTTAGATGACCAGAGAGCATTCTTTGCATCTTTATAAGACATGGGAGAATAAGTCACTTGAATGTAGAGCTTTGTTTCAACAAAATGCATTTTTTTTATTGCCATAGCAGCATGTGCCAGGAATATATGGGAAAAAAAAAAGTGTCAGCAGAAAAGGTAACTCCTCCACATACCAGTTCTTCCTTATCCAGGCAGGCTTTAGACCTACGATCAGCTGTGTTGCAGAGCACAATGAAAAACCTCATCCTCTTTCAGGCACTGATAGTCCTGGGGAATACCAGATATTTCTTGAAAGTAAGATTTTACTTTTGTTCAGTGGCAGTGTAACTTAGCTCTCTATGATCTATAACTTCTATCACTGTGATCCCGCATTCAGGGGCGTGCATGTGTGAGAGAGGGAGAGTGTGTGTATGTGTGTGTTTTCTATCTGACACATCCCATCCTTACTGCTTTTTTTGATCTACTGTTTAATTCCCTATTTTCTCCAGCTGTGTTTTCTCTCAAGCTCTTTTATATGCAGTCCTCAGCTGACAGGTGAAGCAGATGGGGGTTCTTCTCCTACTAAATTATTTGCTGTCACCCTCTACTAACTGTCATACAGCGCTCTGATCTGCAGAATATCTACCTTATCCTTTGACAGTCTTGCAGCCTAAGCACTGGTAGTTGTCCAGGACCACCCTTGCCTCTGTAAGCAAAATACTAATAGTAGAGTTATCTGGTAAGAAACTTGAAGACTGCTCCTGCAAATCTTTTAAGTTATTAGTTCAAACAGAGATCAACTGGGGAGGAAAGAATGTCCCCCCAGCTAAAAAAAAAAAAAAAAAAAAAAAAAAAAAAAAAAAAACGACCCCACACCAAAACCAAAAAAAAAAAAAAAAAAAAAGAAAAAAAAAAGAAAAACGCACCCACACACAAACTCAAAAAGAAACCCAAAACCAAACAAATTCTGTATTTTGCATTCAATGTTCCTTTTTCTTGTATGTGTTTTGTATCTTTAGCCAATAAAAGATTCCTTTTAAAAAGGTGTTTTGGAGAAGGAGCATAAGACTTAACTCTTTGGGAGACAGGAGATGATGAGTATCAGTATTGAAGTGGTTCCATTCAGTCTGTTGTAGCATATAAATCTAAGACCACTACATGTATAAAATACCTATTCTGATAAAATCCTCCCTCATTAGACAAGTGTGTTGCATTCAGTCAAACTAACGGGAAAGGTCTGAAGATTTATTTAATTTTTATCCCATCCATTTCAGTAACTTAAATGCAGAAAATACTATCTAGAAAATGTCCTCAAATCTCATCAGACTTCCACCATCTAGACCCTAAGCGGCAATCTAGTTAAAGCAACCCAAAGAAGGACTGTGAGAACCCTGGCTAGGCCGAGAGAGGGGAGGGGAGAAGGCTTCTCCTTCTTGTATCTTGATGGGTTTTCCCCAAGAACTTGTTCATCTCTTCTGCTAAGGTCTCGTTCGTTCCTGGTTAATGACAAAGCTGCAGCCAAGATCTATCGTCCAGCCGTACAACTCTGCAACTTCTTGCTGGGATCATGTGCCTGCCTATTGAGCCATATATATCTCTGTAAGAAAAAAATTAAAGTGGGCTAGGACCACAGCTCATCTGGCTGTAACACAGCTTGTCTGTTTGGCCACACATTTTTAATCTTGACTCTTGCATGCAGTTTATAGCACCTTGTTCATAAGAAATTGCAGTTTATTCTTAGAAATATATATTTTAGGTTTTTTAATCTTTATACCCATAAATGGACTATTTTTTTGTCTTGGCTGGTTTAAAAAGTGACCATTTTGTTTAAATGCTGTAATTGCAAATGTGTTGTAAACGTTGTTTTGTTCTATAGTTTACACAAAGGTGCCAAAGTAAATAGTTAATAAAAAAAAACAAACCCTAGCAAATTGTTACGTTGCTTTAGCTGTTCTTCATATTTTGGTCTCTACTTTTTTTTTGTCAGTCTTTCATTTTTTCCTAGACATATCATTTGCCCTAATGCTTTCTTAAAAAAAGTGTGCATCGAAAGAAATGTTCAAATACCACTTTTTTTTTTAGTGATTTCATATAGTAGGAAGAATATTTTCTTTGAAACATTACACTAAAATTGTAAGAGTACAGCAGCATTCAAAAATGTAATATACTTTTTGTATAACAGTTCTTCTTCAGCGTATGTCTGGAGTGGGGGAAAAAACTAACCCTGTTACTTTTCAGAAGCCTCTTCACTCGGCTACCAGAATATAAAATTGTGCTTTTTCACTGCATCAAAAAGTTACAGTTTATGCAGACTTGCAAACAGGGCATGTATCACCCGTTGCATCCTTCGATGCAAAAAGCAGCAAAACCTTTTTTATGTTTCATAAGTCTGATATGGGTACAGAGAGTCTTTCTTAAGTTGGTAAATAATGTAAATACATGTCCTTTCAGAGAGTGAGTCTGTTATCTAGGTATTTTGTGTCATTTAATAAATATTAAACAGTTTTGTGTTGATAAACTCGTGTGTAAAATGCCTTCTTACTTAAAGTTCTGTATGTTGGGCTTACTAATGTTCGTGGCTTCTTTAAATTCTTTAGCTTGTGCTTTGATAGCAAAATACCTGTTTGCTACTGAAATATAGTAGTAAGTAGTTCCTTCTTCATTCAGTCATTAAAATCCCTTGAGTTTTCTAAGTGGTTTCCATTCCTGAATTTTTTTTTTTTTAACAAAGTCTTCTACAAAGTTATTGGAGGGGAAGGAAATAGGCATCCTGGCAAACTCTGAATCGGGATTAGAATGTGTAGAAGTGCCAGAAATGGTACAAAAATACTAAAGGTGGTGGCTTGTTGCTACTGGAGGAGGCTACTCTCCCGCTGTACGATTATTGCTTGTCTCCCAGTACAAGTTTTAATGGCTCTGGTACAATTCCTAAAGTACAAAGAATGGGGCTGGACAGGGAACTTGCTTCTATTGTTGATGATGGCCAACTGGGCCATTTCTTAATTTTTCTTCAGCCACTTGGAATCGCTGGACTAAATCTGAGCAGAATTTATCAAGTATCTTTCAGCCTGGCCTTTCCTGGTGCAGGTGCTCTGAGGACTTGGCGGAGAGGGGAGGTGGAGTGATGTAATTTTAATTCTCTGTTGAAGGCTTGCATGTCCTGCAGGAAGGCTGGCCTTGCACAGCACTGCTGTAGTCACGAAACGTTCCTCGTGCGTTTTAAATTGGTACGGTAAATGTCTTCCACTCATACTGCTCAGGTGCTTGTTTTCTCTGCTTGGAGGCATCTAAATGTATGGGATGGTTCTTCGACTAACAATTTCTCCTTAAAGAAAAATGTTTCCTGCTTCCTATATTGTCCACAACCCTACAGAATTTTGTTGTTAAAAAAAATTTTAAAAATAAATCCGACAGAAGCAAATGGATATTTGGGAGATAGATTGACAGATTTCTATTTACTCTGAGAAAAACAATAGAGCGCAGTAAATACTTTTGATTTCTGTCGCTGTATAAAGTGCAATATATGTTACTGTACTTTCTACTGATTTTGTGAGAAACTGGTGCCGAATCAAACTTAAGACAGTAGCTTTGAATTTATCTTCCCTGCACGCCTTGAAGAGGTAAGGGCTTGTGGACATACTGTGGCATTTAGAAAATGAACACCTCAAAACGTAGTGGGGTTGAGAGACATTGGACCTCGTGCAGAGGGTATCTTGTAAAATATGGAGTTAACTGGGAAAAGGAGCCATGGATGTTCATCAACCTACAATAAAGCAGGTTTTTCTTCTGATTAAGTAACTGCTTCCTCATACAGGGTCACCTTTAAAGTGACTCTTACGACTTTTCTTGCTGCTGCTTATGGGAAATAAGCATTAAGATGTAAACAAAAGAAGAAAACTTTGAAAGTTAGTTTTCTAAAATCAGTAAGACGTTGCAGCCCTGTAGATAAGCCCCTTTTTCTTAAGCTTAAGAAAAGTAGTTCACATCCAGCAAATACTAAATTTGTATTGATTGTTACGGATTTACGCACACTGGCCACTGTAAGAGGGGCCGACCCTAGGCTCCTGCTGAGAACACCCAGCCCGAGCGAAGGTTTCCAATTAATCTTTTATTAGTTCTTAGGTTACAGCTCGAGCTGGGTGCCTCCGGAGAGGGACCTCTACCCCAATTCACACCTTTCCATTATACCCGATCCCCCAGTCTTATCCCAAATACAATCACTTAATTCT